GCAGCGCAGGCTCGCGCACGTCTACCGACTTGAGGCCCCCGGAGAGCTTCTGGCCCATAGCTTGCTGTGCGGAGGCGACCGCTGCAGGCCACCGCTACCTCGTGGGACCTTCCACTCCCCACAGCCACGTGTGGACCTCGCGACAGGGAATTCCGGACTGTAGACCTCCACAGCCTCTACCAGGCTGTGGCAGAAGCCCAAGCTCCTGGAAGGAAGCAAAGGCCACAGTTATTAGCAGTAGCAACCTCCTGTTACTCCCCCTTTCATTTATGCCCATGCCTTGGCCGAGCCCACTGAATCCCTCATAAGAATAATTAATTAATATCTTCATATCTGGCACTTAAACTAGAACCTGCCATTGGCCAGACACTGTTCTAAAGGATTTAGATTTGTTAACTCACTTAACCCATTAGACCTCCCTAGAAAACGTGCAGGTTGTTATTCCCATTTTACAGACCCCAGCAAGGGTCAGTAATCAGCAGCTAATGAGTGACTGAACCAATATTCAAATCAAGGCCAGCTGGTTTCAGAGTCTGTGTGCTGCGTTAGAGCAATCATAGGTAATGGCTTCAGAGACAAGGACTGCGCCCAGAGAAGTGGTTTGCCAAGATGGGGGGTGGTGCATAGACATTCAAGGTGTGGTTCATTGGTTCCCAAGCCTGGCTACTCTGGGGAGCTTAACAAGCACCCTAAAAGGTAGCCAGTCTTGAGAAGGAAGACCCTGGGGAAGAGCCCCTTGAGGTCACCCAGGAACATGAACATTGTCATGGTTTGGGTCAGGATGTCCCCTCAAAGCCTCATTCGGTCAGAGGTAGCTGAGAAAGGTGTGATGTTGGCATTAAGGGTGTGTGATTACTAAACCACTACACATGACATGATGAGTGAGCGGTTTAGTGCCGCCCTAACTCTGAGTCCGGATGGGATAAAAGAGGCAAAAAGACACAGTGAAGCTCTCCCTTGTTGCCTTGCTACCTTGTGTGCGCCATGGTGTTTCTCCTCTGTGATGTATGTTTGTCATCCCTGCCTTGGAGCCAGCTGATTATGGACTGAAACCTCTACGAACTGTAAGCCAAATAAGCCCCTTCCCTTCTGACTTTGAGTGCCAGCGAGGAGAGAAAAGAAACTAACACAAACGTAAAGCAATCATCTGAGGATGGGGTGGTGTCTCTGTAGGAAAATGAATGGGGCTGGAAAGGAAAGTAAGGGAACCGGTGTCTAAGCTCTGGATCCAGACAGAACTGCATCCACATCCCTCCCCACCGATTAGCTCTATCTCCAGGCCTCTCCGTGACTCTAGATTCCTCATCTGTAAAATGGGAATCTGAGAGACAATGCTATAAAGGATTTTCAGGCAGATCTTCCTCTGTTCTCTGGGCATCACCCGTAGATCCCTCTCCTCGAGTGCACCCATACTTTCTTGGTTATTTAAACATCATTAACAGAGTTTATCCCAGATAGCACCCCCAGGTGCAGGAACTCCAGTTTTCAAGGAAGAATAATCCGGACTGCAGTACCAGCCAGTTCTTGGGGTATATAGGCTACTTGAAAGGGCCCTGAGTGCGGGGAAAGCAGAACTGAGCCTTGCAGCCCTCCCTGAGCTGAGGTATGTGCCTCCTTACCCCTCTGGTCAGAGAGCTGCTGGGCTCTGAGCGACTTCCCTGAGACAGATGAGGAGACAGAGGATGTTTTCCATGCATTGCCTTATATGTCCATGACCTTCCATTCTAACGGTGGTTCACCCCAGCCTATCCAGCTGGGGAATGAGAGCACCCCCACCACACTGCATGAACAACCTTACTGTGGGTATCCTTTTAAATCCTCCTGTTTTATTCTCAACTCTCATTCTTTCCTTTTGACTATCAGATCTCAGCTTCAGCTGATGCCAAACCTATTCAGAGAGTTCCGGCTAATATTTGATTTGAGAGAATACCAGAACACATAAAAATGTGCAGTGCTAGACAGTTTTAAGATGTAGAATAAAGTTATTCATTTTCATGTCTGAAAGCACCCCAAATCAAAGAGATAGAAAAACAGAAACACAAACTCCCACTTCAGCAAAACTGGAACACATTTGTAACCCGAAACACAGCGTAAAGGGAAAGGCTGCCAGAAACAGTCAAGGGCTGCCAAAGCAGTGAATATCTGAGACAGAGAAAAACACCTCCGGAAAACACCTGTGGCTGCGGATCTGGGGAAAAGTGGGCAACACCAGGCAGGAGCTGGCACCCTTGAAGGGAAAACCGTGGCTCTTATCAGGATAACAATGGGAAGAGCATCTGCAGTCTGGTGGGGGGAGCTTTCACTGACATGGTGGGGAATGAAGAGGCCCGGACTAACAGGAACCATCTTCACAGGAAGCAGTGTGTTAGTGAGGCAGTGTGCAGCAGGCCTCTGAATTGGGAGAAGCCCACAGCTACAGATCTCCACTGCCTGAGAAAGAAACAAAGACTGAAAGAGATCACTGTTACAATTCTGGGAACAGACTTTCTGTGAACCAGGGAGCAATTCTGCCTTCTGAAGTTATTCCTGGCACCTTCTCTATAAGCACTGACTGTAAAATCCTGGTCTAAGAAAAGTTCACCTCTTTCGAAGAGGCATCAGAACAGTGTACATTAAGGATGCTGTCAAAGCAGTGAAAGTGTAAAAGAATGGGAAAAACCCTGGCAAATCCAGAGAATAATTTTTTAAAAGTGTCACAAAGCAGATAAAAATTGTGACTGCCTTTGTAAACTAATTTTGTGGTTATGTACTTTAGAAGAGACAGCTATTGCTATTGAAACAGAAGATTAAATTACTTTTACATTAGCATCATAAAGGTAATTTTCAGGGCTAAAAATATAATATAAAGCTTCCAAATTGTTGGAAGGAACACAACACAAAATAAAAGAGACCAGATATTAAGAGATTTTGTTTTAAGAAGCAATTGAATCAAAAGACATAAAATGTTTTATTTATTTATTTATTTATTTTTTGGTACTGGGGATCAAACTCGGGCCCTTGTGCTTGCAAGGCAGGCGGCGGAACCACTGGGGTAAATCCCCGGCCCCAAAAGACATAAAATGTGATATAGTAAAACTAGGAACAAAATAGTAACCATGTCATTGAATGGCCATAATAAACCACTGAAGAGGAAAGATTCTAAAACTGAGGAACAAGATAAGCCCTCCAACCATGTGCTACGTGTAAGACACAAGAATTGTGAAAATAAAAGAAAGGCAAACACATCCAGACAAGGGTAAATTCAACCTAAGAAGGAAATATGACCTTAGTATTAGGCAAGCAAATTTGATTTCAGGGCGAAAAGTTTTGAATAAAATAAAGGAAAATACAATAATAAAGAATATGATCCTCAGTTGAAGTTTTAATACATCAAATGACAGCACTCGAAGTCAGAGCAAAAGCTAGAAGAAATATGAAACAAACACATTAGAGGTAGGTAATTTTAATTTCTCTCTCCAACTTGTGTCAGATCAATGGACCAAATTAAATAAACACATAGAAAAAGCCAGACTTACATAATTAATAAGTCAGATCTAATTGATGTACGTATCAGATTCTATACCTTTAAAGCAAAGAATGTGTGTTCTTTCAGGTGCTTGCAGAACCATCCAAACAACTTTCCACATACTAGGCCACAAATAAAACCTCACCCCAAATTACAAATAACATAGGGTCTAATAACAGAGAAAAAGGGGAAACTAATCATAAAATTATGGATCACAAAACTCTACCGCTTGGACATTTTTAAAAAACTCTCTTTAAACAACTCAGATTTTAAAAATCTACATAAAAATTGAAAATATCAGGCTGGGATTTAGCTCAGTGGTTCTGCTGCCTACCTCACAAGCATAAAGTCCCAAGTTTGATCCCCCCCCAAAAAATTGAAAATATCTAGAAAATAATTTTAAAAAACCCATTTGATCTATTAAAATCTGCGTGACGCCTCTAAGCTGTACTCAGAGGGAATCATGGTTGGTATACTCACACTAATACATTTTCAAATGAAAATATATGAATTAAGGATAATAAGTAAATAGAAAAACAATGAAACTAATTTTTTAAAAACCCAAAAGTTAGTTATTTGGGGAAAAAATACCACCAAAACCAAACTAACTGAATTTATATATAATTTAATCCAATGTAACTCATTGTATTATCCATCATTATTAATTATATTATCACCTAGTGTATTAATTTATTACATTGTTAGTATGGACATATCCTCTGTAGGACATAATGCAGTGGCACTTTTTCTCTGTGGTCTTCCTTCCCCAAACCTATAATCTCAGTGGGTTTATTGTTATGAGAATAACACAGAACAAATTCCAATTAGTGCCGCATCCCACAAGATGCCGACCAGTTCTCCTCAAGACTGTCAAGGTCATTGAAAACAAGGAAAGTATGAGAAACCTCCATAGCCAAGAAGAGCCCAAGAAGACATAAGAACTATGCATAGGGGACTCTGGAGACCAAAAAAAAAAACTTTAGGTAAAAATGAAGGAACTCTGAGTATGGATTTCAATGAATAATAATGCAGTGATATTGTTTATTAGTTGTGATAAACATTTGACACTAAGATGTTAATTATAGGAGGAACTGTGAAGTAAATGAGGCAAGCC